TTATGCACTAGCGTTCCAAAAGTGGAAGGTAGCGGTCAAGCGTGAGGGGGTCGAGCCACCTTAAGACTTGTCTTATTAACCATATTTTGCTCTACAAAATCTCACCCAATGGAGGGTCCGCCATTTTGTTGCTTCGCGCTTCCGCTTTGGATGTCCATGTTTGGGATGACTGGAAATAGCTCACTCCCGAAAGACATAGCTCGTTTTATATAAGGAACGATGGACTTCTAGCTATGGGATATGGCATATTTTTGAATTTAAAAGGGCTTTCAAAAAAAATCACATCTTTTCTCTGTTTGCTTTGCAGATGGCTCCGTTTATCCATCCGTAGCAACTGCAAAGACTCCTTTCAACACACTGTCAACTTTCTGTTGGAGCAAGGAAGAATGAAGTTTACACGTCCCCTGTATGAGTAAGTTATCCCTTAAATATGGACGGCAGCCATGTTACATGGCAGGAACAATACAATCGTTTTACATGAGAAATAATTCAATGCCCAAGAGCAAGGGGATTTTATTCTTTTGGGCTCGGTTGTACGAAGAGTGAATAGCGCTATCCGACGGATACATCTTATCCAGTGGACAAATTATTGGATAACAGCATCGATTTTTCCGCTGTATAAGGATTTATCCATTGATCAACGCTATCCACCCTTCGTACAACCGGACCCAGATTAGTCTGTCATCACAGGCAGTCCAAGCTGTATTTTGTGCGCTGGCACGTGATGGTGCAAAGCCTCTATACAGGTGGCTATGGACTGCTGATATTTTGAAATAATAGACCTTTTTGCTTCAAGTCATTTATGTTTTTGTTTGTGATTTCCAAAAAAAGGGAGCTTTTCAAGTGCAAGGATGCCAAAGAGCTAGCCATCGAGACTTTCACAGCCAATCAATCGTTCTACCATCCAATTTGTTCCTCTATGGTGGCGAAAGATCTGAAACTACATTAGGATCATCTCATCCACAGTGTATGCCTGCAACAAAATGATGATTTGTCAAAGAAATGAAAATATATTAGAATCATCCAACCACATGTATCCTCTTGGTCATCCAATCACATTGCTTGAACCATATGTTAGTGTCATCCAATCATATTGCTTGAACCATATGTTAGTGTCATCCAATCATATTGCTTGAACCATATGTTAGTGTCATCCAATCACATTGCTTGAACCATATGTTAATGTCATCCATTCACATTGCTAGAACCATATGTTAATGTCATCCA